ATCAAGATCAGAGCACTTACAAGGGTACCCTTTGCAGAGCACCTCAATGGGCGTTGACATCTTTTTCTCGCTGATCCTCTCGTACTTTTGGCGCTTGGTGGCAGCCTTGAGGCCCTGCCAGGGCAGCGAGCCCAGGTTGAAATACATGAGCACGTAGCCCAGGCTCTCCAGGTCATCACGGCGACTTTGTTCTGTGAGAAGAAGTTATAAAGGGGCAAGGAGTGAGCAGCAACCAAAACTGCTTTGGCAATCACACAGCTTTGGAGGTGAACACGTAACAAAAGAAACAACCCCCTTCTCTTCTTCAGTAGATTTCTACGGATAGGCAAACTTCCTAGATAGAAGACATTCCAGTACAAATTCCTGTGGGGATGTTCATACTGCAAGAGTTAAAGCATTCCTCTCCCCACACAGCCCAACCCACTTCATAAATGAATAATTACTCTGACTACCTCCTCACTTGGACAAGCCTTAATTCACACAAGAATTCAACAGCTCAAGGAGTGCTGCAGTGACACTGCCTACTTCACTCTTCCCAGTCCCAGAGGAAGGGCACCCACACTTCTCCACCCAGAATGACACCTCACCCTGGGGATTAGTCATGACGGAGGCAGTCATGGAAAGACAAAGCTAACAGAGGTAAGCCCAGCACAACACTTTCAAACACATCTTCTAATCAACCTGCTGATACAGAAGCAAGGAACTAGTGACCCCTTCTTGTGGTAAATGACTTTGTTGATAGTGTAGAGAATGTAATACTGTGCAGAGGTCTCTCTGGATTGGTGTCATTTTTCAAGCTGTGGAGGTATACTTTGAACATATAATACAGAGGTATACTTTGAACAAAAAGTTCCCCTCTAAATGGGGAATGACTGTGTAACCAGCATCACTACCAACTCTACTCAGAGCCAGGTTGCCTTTAATATGCCATTGTAAGGGCCCACTTTTAGATGCTTATTTATGAAACAAAAAAATTGTTTCCCAAACAAAAAATATTCCACATTGAACTTGTTCTCTGGAATGGCCAAGACGTTTTAAGTTAACTCAAGATGGAGTTGATGCATAATCTCAGCAACTGAGAATGTTGACTCGTTAACTTGTGAAACTCCTCCCAGCTCCTCCAACATGGTTACAAATTCATCTATAAATTTTGCCAAGAAGCTCTTGCCCTCATTCCCCTCCAAAATAAAATAAAATAAAATAAATGCTTTGGAGAAAATACCTTACATCTTGAGGGGAACAACAACTTAGATAACAGACAGGCAAAATATGGCTTGAGGGAGAGCACAGGGGTAGAGGAAAGACTAAAGAGAGTTATCTATTAGATTAATTTACTACTACAGCACATTTTGCTGGATTCAGTACCATGTCCTGGAGGATGCTACAGATTGTGTATTGGTCTGTGGGTTAATTCTCAGTACCAGTTACATGCTACCACCTGCCCCATTCAAAGGGCCAGTAGATTATTACAGCTACCCCTTACTCTGCTAGCTGAACTGAACCCTGACAAAGGAGTAGCTGTAGCAGGTCACAGATCTAGATGTCCAGATGTACTGACACAAGCTGTGGGTCACCATGGGCCTTTCTTCCTCCTGCATCTCTCTCATAAACTCCTAGTGTTTTTGAGAATTAGTGAGCTTGGCAAGTTAAAAATATTTGGGGGGGTGGGGGGAAAGTGTTGTGGTTGCAGAAGAAAAGGAGGGTCTCACCACTCCGTAATTGAGAGAGGAGAGCCTTTGGGTCAAAGCACATGAAATGCTATAAAAACACCATGTTCCAAGACAGGAGTAGAGGAGAAAGCAGCCCTGCAGATCCCCAAAGTATCTTTCTTTGAGCATGCAGGAATACCAGCATTTTTTGACCTTGCTAACTTACTGCCTCAAGTTGCCCACTTTAAAGGGGCTAATACTTCCTAATCTTATCAGGCTGCTGCCAAAGATAACTACATGACTGGCTGGGAGATTCTTAGATGTTATGGAAGGAGCCAGGAAAAGAAACTCACAGTTTCGCATTTGGCCTAAGGTTGTGATATGTGTACTCTCAGAGCGCCATGATTACACACTGTGCATATCAAATAAATAAAACTGAACAATATCTGATAGTTACCTACATCCTGAGACAGGAGGTATGTGGAAATGGAGTCAGAACGCACATCCAGGGCCTGAAAGCACAGGAGATGAGGGTAACCTCAATCCTGCAATTTGCCAGCCCTTGACTTATCCATGCTGTAGCTTAGAAGCCTGTAACTGTGGGTTCCCTGTCTAGAGCATGGTGGTGCCCCTCAGAGGAGTAGAGAAAGGCAGGGCAGGAACCAGAGAAACCTACTGAACAAGCAAATCAGCCTTTTAGAAATAAATCAGGATCTTGTCTCCAAAATCTTGCTTGAACTCCACACTGCTTAGGGCAGGCTGGACCACACACCTCCACTTGCGTGAAGCACAGCAGCTTTGAGCACAGCCACCAACCCCATCCAGAACAGGAGATGTCTGTGAACATACGCTTAGGCACAGCCCTAGCGATTTGGGGAAGGCCAGAATTAAAGACTTAAGATTAGGGAGCCTGAAGTCAGTGGGGGATGCTACAAGCACTTACTGGAGGCAATGAGAGGGGTTACAAAACCAAACTGGGCAGCTCACTAGTATCCATTACATGCATACAAACACACCTTAACTGTGCCTTAACATGGCAATATGATAGAGGAAAAACAACTACAAGCACAATACCTAACTATAAAAATGCTGAATATCTGATTGTCCAACATCCAGTATCTCAGGTATATGTGGTCATTGTAGCCCATTTAAACAATTTCAGTGAGATTCAAATCTACAACAAGCCTGAAGCACCAACATGATGGGTCACAGCTGTCAAGCTACCTCAAAACACTGCAGCTGTCTTTCACCTGTAACCCTAACGACACAATCCTGAATTAAACCTTGGATGATGTTGAAGAACAACAGTTCCTACATCCCATTTCTCTGTTTCATCTTCAATTACTGTTACACATCTCCAATTTTTTTTTTTTTTTTTTTTTTTTTTTTTTGCCTGGCCTCATATACCAACATCCTCAGGATACTAGGTAACATTAGACAGCAAGAATAGAGTAATTAACTAGAGTTAGGAAAAAAGTTCACCTCTACACACCAAAGAAACATTATTTAATATCACTATTTTCCACTTTTAGAAGCTTAACAATCATTGACTAACTCTCACAGCATCCCCAGGACGCAGGCCAAAAAAAAAAAAAAAAAAAAAAAAAAAAAAAAAGACCTCACTTTACAATTTGAGAAGAGAAAGAGAGACACATGTGACGTAAACACGTGCCCAAAGCACATCAGTCCAGAAGCAGGATTGGTCATGACCTGTGACACCACGTCACACTTCCTCTCTCCATCTTATTTCAGCTTCTCAGCTCTCCTACAATACATGGGGGACTGCTGCTTTTATAAGACACTCATCCTTTATGTCCCTCACTCACAAACCCCCTTCCAATAGAAAACACGAGGTCACCTTCCCATGCAACCCCACTGACCTCTCAAACCCAACCCACTCTGCAAGCAATCTCCTGCCAGCTCCCTCCCACTCCCAGGGAGGTTCCCAGCCAGCCCACGCCCTCACTCCCTTCCCAAAGCAGGGTCCTCAGAAGGAGCTGAGTCAGGGCTAAGCAGCAGGACAGTGAGTTACCTGGGGAAGACATGCTTGGGCAAAGACAGGAGACTGAAGACTGGTTGCCTTGGACACGAGGCTCATGACAAAACTTGTTTCTTTGCAGCCTAAAGCCCCTCCTGGTCCCCCAGGACAGTGCTTCCCTCCACCCCGATCCTATCCAAAGTGATGCTGTTCCCATACAGGACTCCCTAGAAATAAGCTGTCTTCACTGGAGCCAGCCCAGCTGCAAGCAGTCTTAACCAAGCCATGTTTTCCTGACTACATACTCAGCTCTGATTTTGCAGATGCTAGGACTACACTTCCCCTTTCTCTCCCCACTGCAGGGCAACAGCCTTTTAAAACCACACAAAAATCTGGAATGGGGACAGAGGGCAGGATGAGCAGAAGAACTTTATGACCTGCACAGCCTACGCTGCCATCTAGGACACGCATTTGGGGAGGAACTACTCCCTGCCCCCAGCCTCCTGTTATCCAGACAGAGCCCACCAGGCTTCTTCCAAGACTGTCTCCTGGGCACCCCTGGGCATCTATTTCAGACTTTACAAGCTCCAGAGGGTGCAAGGGACTCTCATCCCCAGAGCATGTGAAAATTGACTGGAATGCGTGAACCAAAGCCTGCACAGTCTAATGACTCCCCCAACAGCAAGTCTCCAGCTGTGGAAACCCTCCCCAATCTCGCCTCCTACTTTTTCCCCGGTCACTGGGAAAAGAATGTGTTTCCTCCAGACATCGGAATGCCCAACCCTTAGCTTGCACATTCAAATAAAGGCATTTATTCATTTGCTATTCCTGTCACATGAATACCCCAGCACCTGGTTCCTTCCCTCTCCCTAAACCGCGTTAATGTAACATTAAGACAGAGAATTTAGTCTCTGAAAAGTCAAAAAATTCAGAGCGACGGTTCCCATGGTAATGCTTCTAACTCACAAACATGAGTTGTGGCAAGGTCTTGAGAAACAGGAACTCCAGCTGCAACCCTGACACCCCCATCCCCTTTCCTCTGGGCAAGTCACATAACCTTTACGCCATGCAGGGGAACTACCTGCAACGTGGAGATAATACACCAAGACCTGTTGCGCAGAGTAACTCACACCCAGACCTTCCCAAAGCAAAGGGCATGAAGAGAGTGACGGCTGTGCTCAGACCAATGGCATACACAATTTGCCCTTGGATTAGTGTTCAGACATTGTTTGTTCACCCTGATACACAAGCCAAGCACCAGTAGTAAAGGGCTAAGTTGGGGTGGGATGAATAATGAAGTCCTTCCAAAAAAAAAAAACAAAAAAAAAAAACCACCCAAAAAAAACCCCCAACAAACCACCACACACCACCCCACAACCAGACATTTAGCCTCTCGTCATCAGTTCAGACAGAGCAGGCACACACAAAAGAATCGACAGACATAGTAGTGAGAATTATTTTGTGCCTGTCTCCTTGTGGCAGTTACCATGGCTGTGGAAATCTTGACTGAGAATTCAATGGAGAGTCAGTTATATATAAGCAGGTCAAGTCAAAATACAGAAGACCAACTCACAAAGCTCTATGAAAACTATTTTTACTACGTGGAAGAGGTCAGAAGATCACAGCCCACTCTCAACACACAACACTCCCCATTTCGATATAAATAAAGCATTTTCAGTCTACCGTTATACAGTATTAAGCAAGGAAGACAGTGGGAAGTTGCATTATTTTCTGCAGGTCAAGTCTTGACTCCAGATTTCTGAAGAAACCATCTGCAAGAGGGGAGAATGGGAAGCTTTCCGTAGCAAGAACGAGGACATGAAATCCTGTGGAAGCTGTTAGTTTAAAAGGTTTGAGTTCCTTGCTCTGATTTTCAAATTCCCAGCTTATACATTTCAGAACAAGGTCTCCCAGAGATACAAACTGAGCTGCAAGCACAGGAGCTACTTTCCTGGGTCTGCAGGCAGAGCAGCTTCAGTGTTTCTGCTCTTTGGATTTGCTGACCAGTAGCAGAACCGAGTCAGCCTGCTCAGAACAGACCCTACGGTAACTAAGAAACTCTCGCACCGTGGACAAAGTTTAGCCCAAGCAGGGGAAAAAGGTCACACACCAGAGAGAAGTATCTGGTCAGGGAACAGAAGAGAAAACTGCAAGAGGTTTTCACCTTTGTTCCTCACAGCAACCAGGTGGTGTGCCTCAGGGGCTCATTCCCAGGACAAGAGTTTGGGTGACTTCACGAGGTTTAAGTGCAGTAGCTACTAACCTGCACAAGGTTTTTACAAAACCTGGGATGACAGCCATCACCAGTATAAGACCTGGCTGAACTCTCAGCACTCTTCCCCAGCCTAGTTTTATCCCCACAGTACTAGCCATAGGCACTAAGGGCAGAGCCCTACCTCCCTAAAACTGCCTCAATCTCTCTCAGTGGTGAATGGGGCAGTGTGTTTCACAGACACACGAATATTTTGAAGGCCCATGACAGCCAATCCTCAATCACAAAACCTGGATGTCCAGGCAGCAGGAAGCCTCCCCTCATTTCAGATTCTTGTACATTTCCAGCACATGGACACGGCCGACCCCGTCCTCAGTGGTGGGTAACAGGAGCAACCACCATATTGCAGTGGGTCTGTATCCTCCAGCTCTGACAGCTACAGAATAGTCACTGATCAAGGCACACAGGAGTCAACAAGAGAGGTTTCAATTGCACCTACGCCTAAAGGCTCAGTGCCTGCAAATATCTCTTTTACATATCTAATCAGCCTGCAAAAATTGCACAAGGCAGAGTTCATAGCAGTAAAGTCAGGGACGTCACAGCCTTGCTGCTGAAATAGGGCTCCACTGTACTAAGCAGTGCACAAACACGTATCAGCAGACAATTCAGGAGCTCAGAGTGCCACAAAAGGCAGGCGAGGTAACACAGGCATAACAGTTATTTACCCACCATCTCAACACAGGTCAGCAGTGGAGCTAGGCACAGAACCCAATCCCCCCCTTCTGGGGCCACACCACCTCCCCTGGAAAGGCCCACCAAGGGGCAACAGCAGGCTCACCGATTCCCAGGTGGGTGTTGATGGAGGCATAACGGGCTGTGCCAGTCAGATTCTTGTTTTCCCGGTAAGGGATGTGCTGGTGGGTCCGGGCATCTCGGTACTTCTTGGCCAAACCAAAATCAATGATGTATACTAGGTTGCCTTTTTTGCCAAGGCCCATAAGGAAGTTATCTGGCTTCACATCCCGGTGGATGAAGTTCTTGGAATGAATGTACTCAATACGGCTGATCTGGAGGCAGGGAATAAATAAATAAGTAGTGAGACAAGCGAGAAGGTAACTTATCATAACTGTATCTGTTAATAAAAGTCCAGGACGCTGGCCTGTCAGAGCAGGGAAAGGGACATTTTGCAGAGAATATCAGAGATGACAGCCAAAGGAAAAGACACCCTCTGGAAGCAGAAGAATCTGGAGATGAAGAATGGAGATGGAATTCAGCCCTGCACACCAGCCCAGTCCTCCATCTGAGGAGGTCACCATTAGCACCACAAGGAAGGATGGGAAGCAAGTTCATATGGACTAAAACTTTGAGCTTCAGTACTGACACCAGTCAACTTTCAAACTTAGTGAGGATGGGAAAGGAGAGGGTCCAGAACAGCTAAGGGTCTTAAACCCAGGGCACAGGCAGTTGAGTCAAGATAGCTAGCGATGCCAGTTGTTCACCACACAGGCAAAAGCATCTGTGCATGTAACACTAATACAGAGTGAGCAGCAAGTGAAGGAAGGAGGGATGGAGATCAAGAAAAGCCAGCAGTGCCTAGGTTCCAGGCCCCCAGCTTCATCAAGAAATAGAAAGCTGGCAGACACTTGCTGCTAAATGAAAAAAGCCTGGGATATAGCAGTTCTTGAGCAGAGTAGGTGGGAAGGGTGGGGGGGAAGGCATGGAAAAGGAGAGTAGGCACAAATGCTTCAGAGGAAACTCACCATCTGGTCTGCCAGGAGCAGAACTGTCTTGAGACTAAATTTGCGGGAACAGAAGTTGAAGAGATCTTCCAAGCTGGGCCCCAAGAGCTCCATCACCATCACATTATAGTCCCCCTCTGCTCCACACCACTTAATGGAGGGGATACCCACTGGGGAAAGAGAAAGATTAAGCCCATGGAACAGAGGAAAACTGCTGTATCCCCTGCTGAGAAGATGGTATGTAACACCAAATCATTTCCTTTCTAAGGCCCTCCAGAATAATTTCCTCCTTCAACCACTCCCCCGGCCCCATCCTTTCCTCCCCATCTCACCTCCTCCCTGCATCATCTTGTAGAACTTGCTTTCAATGTGGAGCTGGGGATGCTTGGTTTTGACACATTCCAGTTTGATGGCCACCTCTTCACCAGTCGCAATATTGGCTCCTGCATAGAAATGAGGGTGAAATGAAGACTGTGCAAGCTTCCACTGAAGCTAAACACTTTTAACAAGGCCCATATAGATGCCAAAACCTTACGATTTTCCCTGGAATTTATTCTCTGTGACAGAAATGAGATTCAGCCACTTCAAATTCATGCAGAGTTTCCAGCACTGCCATTTGCAAAGGCAAGCCCAGAGAAAGGCACGTGAATAGGAAACCAGCTCTGATCCTGCAGCCAGGCTAGAACAACAGTCCTACAACGTGTTAACTGCCTCATTATCTCAAAAAGTGCCAGACTTTGAGAGGTCAGTCTGTATGTATCAGCAGGGAGTGGAAGTTTTAGCTGTCCCTGATCATATACCTAGCCCATGAACCCAAGCCAGCCCCCAGGCAGTGATATGGAGTACCTCTTCCCAAGCAAAATTACAGGTTACCTCAGGTACATCATTTCAACAGGGCCAATTAGTTCAGGAGGAGACATTGCTAACATTCCCAGCTACCTCTGGTTTCTCCTCAGCCCTGACCTCCTCAATACAGACTGTCTGTCAATACAGACAATTCCCAAATCTCCAGCTTCTCCCTCTCCTGAGGGCTTTAACAATACCTTTATCTTTTGCCAACACAGAAACATTTGCTATATCCTAAATTAGAAGCGTGAAGAAATAAACTGAATCCGGTACTGAATTAAGCTACTCGGACGCCTTTGTTGAAGGTATTGCTACATAGTTTGCGATGACACAAAACCACCACCCTACACGCTTCTTTCTGGAAAGAACTGAGCTGCCAGCCACGAAAGCCAGCACTCTGGTCCCAAAGTGCACTGTCAAAGGAAGAACAGGCTGGTCTTTCTCTCACACTAGCTGAGACGATTCCAGATGTTTCACATCATCCTAAAATGGAAAGAATGAAGATCTGTACACAGGTCACGGGAATGACACTCAAGACTTGCTTCTCTCCCCCATGCCTCAAACACACAGACAAGCCCTTCCTCATGTCTGAAACTATTAGAAGTTGCACTCAAACACAAATCAGAGAGCAGGTCTGATCATAAGCAGCCTATGAACACTGTCATAAAATAAACTACTCCGGAACACGCATGCCAAACACGAGCTGGAGTCAAAGGTGATGTTCTGTAGATACCCCATAGCTAGTTTTGGTAGCTCCAGCTAATTCATGCCTCCTGATCCCTGTGGACTTTCAGAGTCCACAAGGATAGCTGCACATAGATCTCTCCATCCATCTTCCACACACCACCTCCAGAGCCAGGGACCAAAGAGAAAAAGGAAATGTTCACACAACTGGATCCCATCTCCCCCTGGATCCTAAGGAGATCCATCTCCTGTTGAAGAGTTCTGGCTTGTACACAAAGTTAGCCTGCTAGCAAAAAGATGTCATCTAGATACTGCAGTGTCGGGTCGAGACAGACAAGCTGCTAGGAATTTGTAAGAGAGGAACAAAAACGATCAAGGCCTGGAGGGATTGATTTACTAAGAAAGATTAAAAGAGCTAAATATGTAACATAGACAAGAGATACAACTAAGAAGGGTGGGGAGGAAGAATGGGACATGACAACAGTCTGCAAATATTTGAAGGCAGTAAACACTAAGGAGGGAGAGGGATTATTTAGGGTGCTCTGAGGGAGGGGAAGGAGGAGCAATGGGATGAATTTAATAAGGGCTTTTACTCAAGAGCCAGGAGAAGGGAAAGGGAAGAAGACATCCTGAGAGCTAGAGCCATTTGTCCAATGGTTACTTTTGGAAAGATGCTGACATTTTCCACTTAAAAACTGCTGGCCAGCAAAGCAAGTCTATACATTCCCTTCCCTCCACCACAGAACCCTTCTTACAAGCCTCAGGAGTGCAACGAGGAAGAGAGCAGGAAAAGGGGATCAGATCACAGTAAGAACGTGGCCCTGGACTAGTATCTACCTTTTAAATTAGTGTTCAGTCACTGGCCCTCATTCAGCATGGAAACACCCAGGACATCCAAACAGGTAAGGGTGCTTCCTTCCCTTCTCTTTCCCCTGCCTTTGTGAAGACTTTCTCCAAATGCTCTGCAGCAGCTCCCTTGTCCTTTCCCTGGGGGAATTTTTCCTTCTCCTAGTCCATCTGCTGACACAGAGACAATGATAAGTCTTGCTGACTTTTGGCAGCAGTAGCATTAGCATTTTGAATGAACCCTACTCCCTGAAGTTGAACAGTGGAAAGATGAATGAGTTCTCATCTCCACATTACCCTGTGTGTTTAGGAAGATGATGATGCATCCATCTACTAGGCTGTCTGCAGGTGGGGAGTGTTATCTGGGAGCATGTAAAGCAGGAAGAGGGAGAGGGGTAAGCATCAAGAAAACTCAAGATTCAGCAAAATGTGAATATGCCATTCAAATGATCAACATGGCCTTCAGCCCCACACTGTCCATAGCCCAAACACAGGTCTTAGTCTCTTAGAAAAAGAAGAAACAACCCCATGGCCTGGAACAGCAAAAGTAGGACCAATGGGACCTAATGAGGAGCTACTCTTTGCTGAGGGGTCATCAACTGAACACTTTAGGCTCTGACCCCTCCCCAAAGCCCCATATGTCTTCACATTGCTCCCTCTACCATTTTTTGGCTAGAGATCTACCCAGACTGAGACCACCACAAGCGAGGAGGGAATTCAAGGGCAAGAGTCTCTCTGATCCTTTGTTCCACATTTTAACCACCATCTTTTTTAAAAATACAAGTACAAAAGCAACAGTTCTCCGCTCCCTCTCCCGATGGGAAAGCTCCACGTTTCAGACAAACGCAGCAGAGCCTGCCTAGCTTCAGCCACTCGAGAGACGTATGTAGGATTGGGGATAATTCCTAACATCCACCCCCAGTCTCGCTCCGCTGTGGGGGCTGCACAAATTCAATTCATTCATCACGAGCTGTTTGAAACGGGGCCCCGGGGACAGAGGATGTCACCGGCTAAACAGGATCTTTTCGGCGTGAAAGCCTTGCTGCATGTCTGATACAAGAAACACTGCCCTCCCTGCGCATCGGGCAAGCCAACAGGCACGTCCCCCCACTCTCCCCACTGCCTGCTCCCCTCTCACCAGCTTGACGCGGGAAGAATGGAGGGCTGGGAACAGATGGAAGAAGTCAGATAGGGTGAGAGAGAGTTAACAGGCCAGGAAACAAAGGGAAGGCACTCGCCTCCCAGCAAGGGAGGAGCCTGCCACCAGGAACTGTCCCCAGCCAGCGCAGGTCCCAGCATGCTTTGTCTGCCCCACCATCCCCAGCTCCTCCCCTGCATCCCAGCCCCAACGATTCCTACCACATTCCTACCACGTCCAGCAGCAACCCTGCCCTGCCTCTTGGCCAACACCTCTGAACAAAGCCCCTCTCCTCCAACAGCCCAAAGGTCTCGGCAATTCCTCTGCAAACTGTGTTTTGCTCTTCTGAGTGAGCATTTTTAGAGGCAAATGCGGTAGCCAAGGCCCAGGGCAGCTGGATCTCATTTCCCACCCTGCCGAGCCAACGCTGGGGGAATCCCCCCATAGCACTTCTATCCCCCAAGGTAGATCACGGAAGCAAGGCATTGTGCTTTAAGCCGCAGCTGAGGATTAACAGGAGTCCATCTTTTGTGCGTGCCCATGTGGAAATTCAAGTTTCCTTCTGACAGAAAACCCACAAGCAAACCCCAAAGAGCACAGCATGCAGCACCCATTGGTTACAGAGCGGGTGAAGGCACAAACACCCCAAGACGGAGAAGCTGGGAACAAACCATGCAGCCCATGCTGGCCTTCAGAGACAGACTGGGCTTGTCTGTCTCTGCTCCGTCTCCACATCATTATCAAGAGAGAGAACTTTGAGGTGAATCTGGTGCAGGAGAGAAGTCCTTGTGAATAAGTCCCTCTGTCTGCAGAGCAGACCGTGAGAGGATACTATGAGCACAAGCGTCCTCCAGACACACCATCAGAGACTACATGCCTGATCCCTCCAGGCTGGGGAGTCACCCAGGCTCCAAGAAGTCTCGCTATCACTGCTTCAAAACACGCTGGCTTGCACCTCAATGAACATCACAAGGGCTTTGATACTGCATTCAAGCAACTTGGTTGAACTCAGCAGTTGGAGACATCCCGCTGTGCTCACCACACTAGGGTAACTGGGGCTTCCTCTGCCTCTCGTGTTTGGTTATGGGCAAGGCGGTCACAACCCCCTCACCAGAGCCCGTGTTTTCCATGCCCCCTTTGCACAGGTGTATGACCTGTTACGTGATGCAGAGGCCTTTCCATTCAGTACCTCCCTTCTTTCTCCACATGCTTCCCAGATGTTTTGCAAGATCTTGGCAACTTCTACTGTCCTAGAGAGGGTCTGGAAGACTTCAAGCCCTAGCATAGGTGGAAAATGCTGTGCCTGCGCTATCACCCCTCAATCTCTAGCACCTGGGAATTGAAAGCACTGTCACCTGAGACACTAACTGGCTGGAGGGCCACAGAGGAGTGACACACAGGAGTAGGCTGCAGTGAAGGCAGCACACAGTGGAATTGGGGTCCCAGATCCATCATTTATCATCTTTGTTCGTGCTCTGGATAAAGGTGGCAACAGAGCCTGTTACTGATGATTCCCACAGGATACTTAATCAAGAGAGGCTGCCAACACCAATCAAGAGAGAATAATAAAGCAAGAGGGAACTGGAGATAAAAGCCACAGGTAGAAAACAGGAGGTGATTTACAAACACGGGGAAAAGTAATCTGAACTAGAGGTATTCAACGAAAGGAACTCAGGGATGGGAAGACGTTGCAGAACCTAGAAGATATCTACAATGCAGCTGACAGTGCACTAAGGCCAATTCTGCAACCTGATACAGTGTTGGTGATGGGGGAAGCCAAGGAGACCCAAAGCGGTCTATGCAGAGGCATCACGTTACAGACCGCTCAAGGGTAGCCCTTTGCTGCCCAGCGGCAGCAATGCCACACCTCGAATCCTGTGTAGGCTCCAAGCTGCTCAGCAGATGGACAAACTGGGAAAAACTGAAGGAGCAGCAAGAGCGAGGAGTGGTGGATGTACTGGGAAGCAAAATAGAACTCAAGTGAGCAAATTAACAGTCAAGGAGCATATGACGACCATCTGTAAGTACCCAAAGGGTGCAAACACCAGGAAGGGAGAGGGCAATCATTCTGCTGGCCTGCAGAGCTACACCTAAATAGGTAGTGGTGAGAACTAGACGATGGTTAAAGCCACACCAGCTCTCATGGAAGGATAGATCAGGCTACCGGGTAGTCTCGCCACTCCAGCCCCACATGGTTCGAGCCAATAAAAACATCAGCAGGCAAAGCATCAGGGAACATATCTACACATCAGTGTGCTGGCTTGGAAGAACTTCTCCCCATGTGACCTACCACGGTAACAGGAAACCCAGCATCTCATGGGCTCTCTCCATTGAGCTCCCAGCTCAGGTCATTCCAGACATTAACTCTAAATCCCATTACAGACCTAACAGATCTGGGCCCCAGGACTTTAACCAGGCCAGCCTTTCTGACCTGTTTTACACCTCCTGGTCTCAGACCTCTCTCTCACAGGTGCTGGACCACCTCTTCCACTACCAATCTTCCCAAAACTTTATTCCTTCTACCCTGAAGGAACAGACACCTCCTCCCTTTCCACCACCCACTTGTTACAGAGTTTATACCCACAGACACCCAAGCGCAAGAAAAGGAAGCGAGAGAACTGGAGTAGGGTGTATGACAAATATGCCCTGAATAGTCCAAATCTAAACACCACTGTCTCTCCAATACCTGCAAGGCAGAGCTGAGCTCATCCCACTTTCTTTGCCATCAGAAGACCGGCAGCAACTAGCAGTATTCCTTGAAGCTCTTTTTTTCTCCACCACCTCCAACCTTACATGGTGCCCACAAATATCAACAGGCAAGAAAAACAACCCCAAAACAATGATGCAATTGAGAAAAACAACCTTGCAGGTGGAAGGACAGAGACTCACACTCACCTAGGTAAATGTCTCCAAACGAACCACTGCCAATCTTTCTGCCCAGTCGGTATTTGTTCCCCACTCGAAGCTCCATGGTTCAGTTGTGCTGAGAAAAGAAGCACAGAAAGCGCAGAGTCAGAGCAGAAACAGGAAGTGAATCATGTAAGGCTACAGAAGAGACCTCACCACTTCACCCAGAGGCTGGGTACAGTTTTTCATCTTGAAATACTTCACTTTCTACACAGCCTCTATTACCTCTCCGGATCTCCTCGATGACCAGGGACAACATGAGCTAGAAACACTGAGTAACATGACTCTTACAAGCATGTTTTCCATGTTCCCATTATGGGAATGAAGAAGGATTGAACCTCTTCCCCACCATTTTGTTCAGAGACTGGGAGAGGGCAGGAAATCCCTCCTAAGAAGGTTTCTGTAGGTGACCACTTCACACTACTGTGAAGAGAGATGGTACTGCTCCTTGTAACCTACAGTACCTGGCACCAGGACAGTGGTAACCTCATGAGACACCAGAAGGGACAGGCATAATAAACCCTGTGAGAAGGACTGCTCTCTGGCCTAGCCCTAGACCAGCACCTCGGTGGGGGCGAAGCACAGGACCCAAGGGCTGCAAGAGACAGACAGACTGCCAGGAGCAAGCGACTCCATCGCCTCTAGGTGGGGGCCGGCACAGGGGACAGGGAGGAGACATCTCGCTGAACTGAACCCTGCGAGGCATGCACTGACTAGGTACACCATTTGCTTATCTCCACATGCTTCTTCTGATGGGATCACAGCCTCCTTCAGTCTACCTGAGCCTCTCTGTTACCTACCCAGGTGTGCCAGCTGTTTGTTTTTAGCAGCTTGGGCCTTTCCTCATCCCTTTACCTGAGGTGATTAGCTAACCCTTTGACCTGATATACCCCATCAACATGCCCAGGCTTAGCATACTCACTTCCCACAGAAAACCAACTAGGTGGAAGGACCATGGCCACAGAGTTTGTTCTCCCTGCCAACCTCAACTTCTACTGCAAACACCTTGGCCAAACACAGTTCCAGCAGTTCCCCCCTTAACAGCCCCTTTTCCCTCAACCCTTCCATGGCCACCAACTTAATTCTAGGAACTGCAGCTCTTCCCGAGACAGCCAGCGTGGCTCCTTTCAGAGGGATTTGCCACACTCCTAATTTATGCAATGCCACATTATTAGCGTACAAAATGCAGACACAGAGCCTGTTGGGGACAGGAAAGGTGAGGAATGATTCACGTTTTCACAAGTAGGTGAGAGGAACTTTCCCTTGCTGGAGCTCAGTGGGAAGGAAGCATCACTGAAGGAAAGAAGGGAGGAATGGCCTTGTGAGACACAAGCACAAAAAAAATAATCCCAGCTACATGATTCTGGGCATACTATAAACCCAGAGCTGCTTCTCCTGCCCCAGGAAATGGGATTACAGAAAGAGGAATGGACGGGCTGCAGAGATGTACAGGGAAATAATCCTATCAAGGTATTCAGGGGACATTGTGAACCCTGAAAGCAGAGCTCCAGTCATCAGAAACCACACACAAAACACTGAGAGGTGGAGTCCCCTCACCTAGTATTTACTTATGCATGTGGGTTTCTGTGCATCTAAAGTCTACAAAACCCTGTGGCTATTTCCAGCTTTCTTACTACAAGGAACGTAGGCAGAGCCCTGGGAACCAAACCAGGAGGCAGGCGTACCTGGGTGAGGGCGCAGCAAACAGACATGATTTTTATCCGCTGCCTGCTGTTCTGTATAACCACATTAACATACATCTGACTTGCTTACACTCCTACTCCAATAAACGATCAAAGGTCTGTGTCCCCTGGAACCAGTCACACCACCATCAGGAAAACAGCTCTCGAACCTCCTTCCTTCATGGCTGCGTTTGCCCAGACCTGTGAATCCCGAGCACTTCCACTGGAGCCCAACTCCGAGCCGCGACAAGCACGGCCGAGAAAGCTGCAGAGGCTGGGCAACAGGTCCCAGCGGGGTTCCCTCCGCACCAGGGCACAGTGGTTACTGCTCTGCAACACCACCGTCCCAAGCCTAAATTTGGTCCCACCCTTCTGGGACAGGCAGGAGCCAGGTTAAGAAGGGCTTCTCGCACAACTAGGCAGCAGCCCTTCTAGCTGATTAAGCAACAGGCTCTAAAGGAGAATCTAAAAAATGCTCCGGGGCGAGGGGGTGGAAGCGGGAAGCAGGATAATGGCGTGAAAAATCACGGTCTCGCACAGCTGTCATTTTGCCTTATCTCCCCCCCCAACACGCACACAAGTGGGCTTAGAAAACCTGGGTGGGGGATAGCCAGAGAGCAACAGCCTGGATTCATGGTAAGGGGAGTGGGCAGGACACACACATCCCACCCCCCAACAACTGCTCCAGGAGTTCAAACATCTGCCACATTTGCTTCTACTTCACACACGTACCCCCACCATCTACAGCTTCCGCCCTTATCATCTGATCTTCAGGTCTACTCTTACAAGAAGAAGAAAGAAAATTTTATATATAAAATTTATACTACTATATATGAAATTTATATTACTCTATATATATTATTTTTA